TGCCGGTCACAGGTCCTGGCGAAACGTTAGGAAACAAAACTTCCAGAACACGGCCACACACCCCGGAAGACCCACACCAGCCATTTCCTGCTTTAGTTTCTCATTTTAACACTTTTAGTATCATGGTGTGTATCTGTGTATGTATGTACATGTGCACGCACCTTTGGGGCAATATCCATTTAACTCAATGAAACATGCATCTTAAAATGGACGTGCTTTGGATTGCACTGCTTATAACAAAATATAATAACTCTAATGCAGTTACTTAACAGAAGATTATTTGCTCTAGTCTTCTACCTCCCTCTGCCCCAGTTTAGTTCCATTCTTTTGTTCGCCTGAATCCTTTCCACTGCTGGCTAATTTTAAAACATGAGGTTTTGGGCACAATTTTGGCAGCAACATCAGATTCACTTCAAGCACAAGTCCAATTGCAGCCCTAGATAGGAAGAATGGGCTCTGTTCTCTCCATTCAGAAATGCATTATTGAACAGTGGCAAGATCTAGCTGAGGGCACATGCTCTGCATATTTAATAGCAATGGGTGCTGAGAGCCATTCATTCAGAAGAGCTTAAAGTTTTGGCACAAAACTATCAACATTCAAACACAAGACAAAGAAGACAGCATGAAGATTTGTGAGGGATACATTCTCTGAGAACTCTCTCTTTAAAAATTTTCCCCTTACCCTTTGACTATTTTGTTACCTTTATATTTTTTAAAAATCAGAGAAGAGAAATAATGAAAATATTTTTACTAATCCTTTGTTTTTCTTCCTGCACAGGGCTTCCAAACAAAGCTGTGAATCAGAAGGTATTCCAAGGAATCAGTCAGATATGAGCCATTTATCCCAGGTCTCTGGAGACTCTAGGTAAATTAATAGGTTCATTTTTGGATTTTTTTTCCTTCTGCAAAATGCTGCAGGAGGAAAAGAAACATTATAATAATTATTCTCCGGTGAGCAAACTGAAATGGAAAAAAATGACCTTCCTTACTTTTCAGCTTTCCCATTCATTCACTACCTTGCCTGTTTGTTTGTTTTTTAAAAATTTTATTCATTTATTTAGAATATTTTTACCCTACCTTTCTACTCCACAAGCATTCAAACTAATTCTTGAACAGTACATGTTAGGGCACTACATGGGCATAAGAGAACATATAGAATTGCTATATCTGATTTTTTTCCAGCATCTTCGGAGGTTCAGAGAGCTGGGGAAAAACTGTATTATATTAACGGGACTTCTTATAACCATGTGTCATTAAAGAGATTTCTTATTTCTAAATCTCATCAATGACAGCATTCTGAAATTGGGCTATTCAAGTACTACAATGCTTCCCAAGTACAGTAGCATTAATTTCTGTGATACCTGTAATTTGTTGTGATGAGCATAACATCTATAGAATAAGTATGGCAGAGTTGCTCTTTTGACACAGTAGAATATAATAATTAGGAAGATACTATTAATGCAGGGTCATGTTGAACTATTTGTTGGCTTCCATATTTCCCCTTGCGTACAGTATT